TCTATATTTTATTTTAATACAATTTAATTCGAAGAATTCGTTCTGTATTTAATTTGAATAAAATTTCATGCGTGGAGTTTATTCTGCATTATAATTAAATACAATTCTACGCGGATAATTTATTCTATGCTTTATTGGAATAAAATATAATACGCGGATAATTTATTCGATATTTTGTTTGAACAAAATTTCGTGTGAAACGTTTATTCTATTTATTATTCGAAACGTTATTCGACTAAAATTCTATTTACATTATTAAACGTTATCAAATATTATTATCAGTCGAATAGAAATTGATTCGAGAAATTATGCCACTAATAATTCAGACTATCAGAATCATCCACGTTAATTTATTATTCATCTGTAAATATTCTATCGCGTCACTTTAAATGCCATAAATCTCATCGGCACTCCACACGAAAATATAAATCGCCGAATAAACCTCGGCGCCTTATCTTTCGCCGAGCGGAATTCCGAAAGGGTTAAACTCTGCCGCGTAACGGGGACCGCAAAAGGCGGCCGAGCACAACAATATCGTATGATCGAGAACGCGCGTAACGGAGTATTTACTGTTCGCAGTGACGGCGGAGGGGTTAACCGAGAATAGCCGAGAGATGCGCGGAGATACAGAGACGAGTAAAAAGCACGGTTGCGCGAGCGGAGAGGCTAGGAGCGGAATCAGGTTTCCGGCGTGAGGAACGAGCGAGGCGAGTGCACGCGTAATTGTACGCCGCATGGCAGACACGTATTACCAATCGCGAGAGGCATCTTGACGGAAACCCTCCGCTCGATCTCAATCGACGTGATTACGGGTCTGACCTACGCGCATCCAGCCGCCCTCGCATTCAATCCGGCATCGATCGGCTCGATCGTACTTGAGGGACGATGGAAAGCCATTACCGTGGCTCGGTAGACTTGTTCTGATTAGCGAGCTCCTGTAATTGATGTACAACGCGGGTAACCGGCAGACGGTAATGAAACAAACGCGTGTTCGAGTGCTTGCCGCGCAAAGGGATCAACAAACATCCGCATCGCTTCTGACAGCTCGTCGGCACCGGGGCTTCCAATTCGCACATGCGATCGATGCTGCGCCGCCTACCGACTCGAACAACCGACCGATTCTTTAACGTCCCTAACGTCCCTTCTCCGTCGAGCATAATCACAGAGAGCAGGTCATGCTTTTCTGGGAACTCTTCGACGCGCGACACGTTGTTGTCGCGATACGGCCGCCGTTTCGTCAGTTTTCAAGATTTCCCGGCGGAAAAAATTACTACAGGCTGTTCAATGTGTGCAGTTTCGTACTAGGTGTTCGTTTGAGGAGAGAGATGATGCGCAAGTTCAGAAACAAATTCTTGAAGGTACTGATGCACGATTGTTGTAGGACAAAGTTGTGCAGCGCAACTATGTCTCGGAGATATGGCTGTCACTTGGGCAATTTTGGAGATTTCTTAACAGAAAAATTAGTATCGATTGCTCAAACTATGTACTTTCGTACAAGGTATTTGATTGAAGGCATAGTAGATGCACATTTCCAGAAAAAATTCTTGGATTGCCTGTGATATGCAAAAAAATGGAGCGAAGCTATATTCTGGGGATCTGACTGTCACTCGGGCAATTTTAATGTTTTCTCGACAGAAAAATTAGTATGATCTGTTCAATGCACGTACTTTCAAAAACCATAGCCCTTTAAGAACAATCTCTACCGGCATCTTCCTAAAAAAGTCGCAGAAATATCAAAATAATTTGGAAACCGGACGAAATTAAACGCGTCAACTGAGAATAATAGACTGAAACGTGTATAAAAAGAGCATATTGCGGTCACCTGGCGTGACGAAGAGCACGATACCGAGGAGCAGGGTCCTCGTCGCCACATCCGCGATCCACCGGAAGTCCCTGCGACACCACCGGAACCGATGCCTCTTGCCAGTCTCATCCTCTTCGGTTTCGTTGCCGAGGAATCCTCCGACGGAGATCCTCCTCAGCTTTCCGTAGAGGGTGCCGAGCAGGCCGCCCCCGCCCTTCGACCTTCTCACACGTTTCTCGTGGCCATTCTCTTCGTCCTCCTGACGCCTGCACGGCCGGGAAGAACCTGTACAAGTCGGTTGACCGGAAGCAAGGGTCGCTTGCAGGCCAACCCTGTCGGAAAAATCAATTTTCTCGTTCCACGAATCGCCGGGCTCGCCTCCGCGTTTCCATCGATACAAAAGCCGAAAGCTGTCCCAGTCGATCGCGTATATAATACCACTGGAAATAACTTTCTCGGAAACTCGACTGAACGACTTGAATTTTTTTAGAAACGTCTAATTTATTAAACGACGACTCTACAATACTTCTTTGATTATATTATATAAATTTTTTTTATATTATATAAATATTCGGTGCAATTTGCCTAGATCTACAAAACGCATTTTTTATTTAAATTTTTGTTATAGTTAACAAAATTAAGACGCACGAGTTTTTAATATTTTTTTTTTTTTGGTTATTCCAAGTAATAATAAAATCAGAGAGAAAGTATTTCAAACATTTAGTCGAGTTTTAAAGAAGTTATTGCGCTTTAAAGGGTGTTCCAATATGTTTTGTCAGGGGTTGTACATTGATACGGATATACAGGGTGTGCCAAAAATATTTGAATGAAATGAAGTAGATGAAATGATAATATCTTCGTTAATTAATAACTGGTTGGTAAAATGACGGAGAACATTTTCGCCAAGGGGAAAGTTCCATCGAATGAACTCAGGCCTCGTTCTTCTCAGAGAGTTGCAACATTGTTGGGACAACTTGTATACACGTGTGTATCGTTTACCTTTCCTCGTGGTCGCGGTGGCCTCCATCCGTTTCCGAGGAACCATCGTGCCTTAAGGAACGAGGGCTCTGGGGAAGAGTGCTTCCTGAACACCGGGACTCGAGCCTTCGCCGGAGGTCCGTGGCTTGTAGCCCTCCTCCGCCCCCCATTCCCCCGCTCCCATAGTACCTGCGAATTATAGAGCACCGGTGAATACATGTCGTTCCACGGACCTTGATAATGCGAGGCCAAACTCGAGGAGTTTCAGGCTGTTTCGATCTTTTCGTTTTAATTTGTGATCGGGGGTGGACTTTTTTGGGGGTGGTTCAGCGAGAACGGGGGCAAAATGATGAACTGTATTTGTAAAATTGCAGTCTGTATTTGTGAAGTGACGATCTTTATTTTTTAGAATTGCAGTCTATATTTGTGAAATGGCAATTTATGTTTTTAGAATTGCAATCTATATATTTGTAAATGTGGCAATCTATATTTTTAAAACTGCAGCTTATATTTGTGAAATGGCAATATATATTTATAAAATGATAATCAAAATTTGTGAAACTATAATCTTCATTTTTAAAATGGTAATCTATATTTCTAAAATGGCGATCTATATTTTTAGAACTGCAGTCTATATTTATCAAATGGCAATCTTTATTTATAAAATGACGATTCAAATTTAGAAAATTGTAATCTATATTTGGAAAATGACAATCTAAATGTGTACAATTTTAACCTATATTTTTATATAGTAATCTATACATGGTAATCTTTAATTGTTATTCTACAAAGATCGCAAGCACATTCTTTCCATGACTCCTCACACTATTAACCCTTCATTCAAGATCAATCACAGTTACACCCTTTCCGATGACCTTCAGCAAGAATTGCTGCCTTCAACCCCCCCCCCCCCTTCAACCATAAAAATTGCAGTCTTCTAACCGGCGGATCTAAAAAATCCGCGTGGATTAAAAAAATCCACACTCGAATTTCTTGTCGAACGAATCGATAGAGAAACGCGTTGCTTCTCGAAAAACGCTAAAATCGAAAGAATTTTGTTTCCGGTCCGAGACCGCCGGGTGAAACGCTGTTTGGGAACCTCTGGCCGCGATTGCCGTGGCAAAAGATAGACGAGGAAAGAGAGAAAGAGCAGCATAATATCGCGAGATAATGCCTTAATCGATCGGCGAGGCGGTTTAATGCTCGATTCTTATCGCGACCCGATTACTTGCTCGAGAACCGGAGAGGCCGAATCGTTCGATAAAGGGGCTCGATTGGTTCGATTCGACACGAATGCCGGTAGCAGCCGGCCCCCGGTGGAACGTGGAACGAGGAGGTTTCCCGTCGCGTTCCGGTTTCCCTCGGCTCGTGTCTGCTCGCAGATGTCTACCGGCCCGCGGTGGCGGCTGCCGGCGTCTAACATCGCCAGGGGTGGATCGGGCCGGCTCGGGCCGCCTCGGGCTCGAATACTTCGCCGGATACCGGAGCCAGGATATCGGACGCTCGACGAGGCTCCCGATACGATCGTCCATTCACGGCACGATTCCGCTATTTTCAATCAGAATCCGCTTCGACGCCGCCAGTCGGAGCCAACCTCTCTCTCTCTCTCCCTCTCTCTTTCTGTTTAAATTGAGGATAAAAACTTGTTTGCACCCGCTCGCGAATTCTAATTAACCCTCGCCCACCCGGCCCGCTCCGAAACCCGACACTCGATCAATCTTTTTCGTTCCGGGATTCTGTTTACCCGAGAAAAGAACGTAGCGTTCGGCGCGCGACAAACCGCGCGCGGAAATGGAACGACGGGCGTAAATAATTTCGGTAATAAAAATGGAAATTCGAACGGAGATCTTATCCCGCGAGCTGTCCCCTTCGACGCGCGCGAAAATGGCCCCGGGGGTCTCCAATTAATGTGGTTAACGAAATTGGAAATTAGATTCTCCGCGCTTTGTTCAATCGTTTCTGTCATACGTGAATGGCCCTCGTAAGGTGTACGTGGTTACGCTAATGAAATCGGCACGCGGACTTTATCCGACGAATTGTTTTTCGGTCGTGAACGCCGGAACGGTGTTTAAGATCTGATTAATTCGGTTAATGAGTTCGGAAATCGGAAAGCTGTATCGCACTGTTTTAGGAATTGTTCTTTCGTCGCGCGGAAATGGCACGCAAGATCTAATTAGTTCGGCTAATGAATTTGAAAATCGGAAAGTATATACTCTTCCATTTTAGGAATTATTCCTTCGTCGCGCGAAAATGGCGCGTAAGATCTAATTAATTCGGCTAATGAATTCGAAAATCGAAAAGTATATCCGTCTATTTCACGAATTATTCCTTCGGCGCGCGAAAATGGCGCGCAAGATCTAATTAATTCGGCTAATGAATTTGAAAATCGGAAAGTATATACTTCCATTTTAGGAATTATTCCTTCGTCGCGCGAAAATGGCGCGCAAGATTTAATTAATTCGGCTAATGAATTTGAAAATCGGAAAGTATATACTTCTATTTCACTAATTATTTCTTCGTCGCGCGAAAATGGCGCGTAAGATCTAATTAATTCGGCTAATGAATTCGAAAATCGAAAAGTATATCCGTCTATTTCACGAATTATTCCTTCGGCGCGCGAAAATGGCGCGCAAGATCTAATTAATTCGGCTAATGAATTTGAAAATCGGAAAGTATATACATCCATTTTAGGTATTATTTCTTCGTCGCGCGAAAATGGCGCGCAAGATCTAATTAATTCGGCTAATGAATTTGAAAATCGGAAAGTATATACATCCATTTTAGGAATTATTCCTTCGCCGCGTGAAAATGGACCGCGAAGCTCTAAAGTTGGCGAATTAATTGAAAAAAGTAGACTCTATCCAACGTCGATTAATTTGTTCGACGAAATCGAAAATTAGAATTGGCACTTCTCGCTCGGAAAGTTCGAAAATCGCAGAGGTAAACGCGAAAGTATGGAAACTCACCCCTGCCGTTCCGCCACCACTACCGCTGCCCGGATCTTCCGCTCCCGGCGCCGATTTTCAGCAACTTCGCCACTTCTTCAGCCTCGGTAACAGCCACCTCAGCCCCCGCAGCGTGCCGCTAGCATCACCTGCAACCGAAAAGAGAGAGAAACGGATATAGTAATTTCTCCCGGAAAATGCCAAATCTCCTTTTCCCAAATTGTCCCACTGCTGTGCGCAATCTGACACGAATTAGGGAGAAATTACTGTACTAGGTACGTGATCGTCGAATCGTGACATGAAGCCTTCGAATTGCCTTCGAATCGTATCACGTGGGCTCCGAATTTCCTTCGAATTGCTCCGAATTGTTCCGAATTTCTCTCGAATTGCCTGCGAATTTCCCTCGAATTGCCTCCGAATTGCCTCCGAATTGCCCCGAATTCCACCGAATTGTCCTCGAATTCCCTCGAATTGCCCCGAATTGCCTTCAAATTTCCCTGAAAAGCCTCCGAATTGCCTCCGAATTTCTTGCGAATTGCCTCTGAATTGCCTTCGAATTTCCTGGAAATTGCATTCGAATTTACCCCGGATTGCCCTCGAATTGTCTCCGAATTGCCCTCAATTTCCCTCGAATTTCCCCGAATTGCCTTCAAATTGCCCCGAATTGCCTCCGAATTTCCTCCGAATTGCATTCGAATTACCTCCAAATCGCGACAAAAATTAGAAATGAAAAAGTTAAGTCATCAACTCTTTATTCCAGGAAAAGAAAATTAGACGGTTAGGCGAGCACGTATCATCCGCTGCTCGGTACTTTGGTACAACGTTAACCCTGGGGACCCTTACACGGGGTCGACGCGTGTACGTATTACACGCGCGCTTACATCGTGATTATCGAGCACGACTGCTTTCTTCCGGAGGCTAGTTGAAATTCCAGCCGGCCTGCGCTGGGCCTGAATCGAATCGATTAGCAAAATACGTGCTCAGACGCCGAGCACCGTTCGATCGATTCGGTTTCGCCCCTGGCCAAGGGGGCTAAATCGCCGCCAATATTTGACGGCCGCTGTCCCTTCAACTTCGCACGGCCCTGGACCACCGTCACGTTTCGATGGAGTTCGTTCGATTGGGGAAACTCTTCGAACGATTCTTTGGAGGTCTTTCAGAGATGCAGGAAAAGGTACAACGTTGACATCATCCCTATTCGAAATTAATTAATTTAAGCTTCTAATTAAATATCTGGTAAAAATTTATCAACGTTTAAACTTCTATGAAATTCTGTTAGAATTTAAATTTGTAATCAGAACTCTTTATAATTAAATTTTACATGTAAGAGCTGCTGTAATCAATTTCACCCTCGTTTAAGATTAATTACAATCTAGACTTCTATATTGAAAATCTGCTAAAATTGAAACTCGAATCTCGTTATAATCAAATTTTGCATAGAAGATCTATTATAATAAATTTCATCCCCATTTAAAATGAATTATGATCAAGATGTCTCTCTGTTAAAAAATCTATTATAATTAAAAATTTCTATTTAAATATCTATTTAAATTTCTATTAAAAATCTGTTAAAATTGTAACTTCTATTACAAATTTATTATTGTGGCGAACTGATAGCTGCTATCTCGTGACGTCTCTATTTATAAGAATTACCCCCTCCGCAAAGCAAGTCGGCTCGACCTCCAGTCTCCGCAGTGGCGAATTGTTTTCAATGGAAATCCGTTGGGCGGACGCTTATCAATTAACCGTGAGAATTAATCGACCTCTAAATAATTCTACGTTTCCGTGGCAACGGTAAGTTAATCGCGGTACAATTATAATTAATTTCTCTATTCTTCCATTGTGTGTGTGTTCCTAACGAGTCCGTTCCGCCGGATGATTTACTGCTAATAACGGCAACGGGCGATGAGAAAATCAGAAAGTTCGTGAACGGCTCCTTAACGAACCGTGAAACAATGTTCGAGCGACCATCGTAATTTCGTCGTTTCGCGAGAAGAGCCCGCCGCGGAGCTTTTTGAAATCGTTGCATTGAAATCTTCCGTATTAAAACCGGATTTCGTCTCTCTACGCAGACCGCGGAACGTTAAATGAAAAATTATTAATTTCAAATTGTATTTCGACGATAAATTATGAACATTTCATATTCCGGCGCAGAGAGAGAGAGAGAGAGAGAGAGAGAGAGAGAGAGAGAAAGCCGCGGTCACGTTTTTCCACCGGAATCGAATATCAACTCTGATCCATTTTAATTCGCGAAATTCAAACGCAGCCGTTCACCTGGACGCGACAGCGGAACCAAGGATTTGCCATTTAAATCATTTACGTTCGCGTATCGAATCATGGCTGTTTAACATTTTATATGCAGCCAAATAAATCAGCGCGCGCGCCCGATCCTATACCAGCAAGGTATCATCAAAAGCAAAGGTGAAATTGACCCGAACCGGGCACGCGGACTCTTTGAGCTCTACGCGAGCATTTAATTCGCGATGCTTCCGGTCAAAGAAATCAGAGAAGATTAATATTACGCAAATATTACGCGAAACTCAATCCTCAATGCCGGCGCTTTTTCAGCAACGATCAACGGTAAAATTTGCTAGAACCTCGCGCACGTTAAATATTTTTCAATCAAAAAATTACCAATTGATCATCGACTATTCCGTTGAAAGTTCTACGATCAAAGGGAATCGTCGTTCCGACAAGGTCTCCGTAAAACTGCCATAACTTCGCAACCGATGCATTCTTGTCGATGAAAAAATTACCAATTAGTCTCTAAACTATGCGAATTTAAGCGATCAAACGCTTTGCGAACGGAGCTTCTCAGTTCCCGAAGAAAAAATTCGAGATCATCGACTATTCCGTTGAAAGTTCTACGATCAAAGGGAATCGTCGTTTCGACAAGGTCTCCGGAAAACTGCCATAACTTCGCAACCGATGCATGCTTGTCGATGAAAAAATTACCAATTAGTCTCTAAACTATGCGTATTTAAGCGATCAAACGCTTTGCGAACGGAGCTTCTCAGTTCCCGAAGAAAAAATTCGAGATCATCGACTATTCCGTTGAAAGTTCTACGATCAAAGGGAATCGTCGTTCCGACAAGGTCTCCGGAAAACTGCCATAACTTCGCAACCGATGCATGCTTGTCGATGAAAAAATTACCAATTAGTCTCTAAACTATGCGAATTTAAGCGATCAAACGCTTTGCGAACGGAGCTTCTCAGTTCCCGAAGAAAAAATTCGAGATCATCGACTATTCCGTTGAAAGTTCTACGATCAAAGGGAATCGTCGTTCCGACAAGGTCTCCGGAAAACTGCCATAACTTCGCAACCGATGCATGCTTGTCGATGAAAAAATTACCAATTAGTCTCTAAACTATGCGAATTTAAGCGATCAAACGCTTTGCGAACGGAGCTTCTCAGTTCCCGAAGAAAAAATTCGAGATCATCGACTATTCCGTTGAAAGTTCTACGATCAAAGGGAATCGTCGTTCCGACAAGGTCTCCGGAAAACTGCCATAACTTCGCAACCGATGCATGCTTGTCGATGAAAAAATTACCAATTAGTCTCTAAACTATGCGAATTTAAGCGATCAAACGCTTTGCGAACGGAGCTTCTCAGTTCCCGAAGAAAAAATTCGAGATCATCGACTATTCCGTTGAAAGTTCTACGATCAAAGGGAATCGTCGTTTCGACAAGATCTCGAGAAAACTGCCATAACTTCGCAGCCGATGCATGCTTGTCGATGAAAAAATTACCAATTAGTCTCTAAACTATGCGAATTTAAACAATCAAACGTTCTTCGAACAGAGCTGGACGATTTCCAAGAAAAAAAATTCGAGACGACCGGCTATGTCACTGAACACCGTACATTCGCCGCGAATTGATTTTTAAAACGGTCCCCTGGAAAATTGCCATAACTTCGGAACCAATGAATATTCCCCGATGAAAAAATTACCAATTACTCTCCGAACCGTGTTGCTTGAAGCAATGAAACGCATCTTGAACGGAGCACGCGGTTGCCGGGGCTGAAAGAATTCGGAAATATCGGTAGCCGAGCGCGATCGCTTCCATAGTTGTCCGGTAGCGTATCGAAGCCAATTTATCCGGCGCGACTATGATTGCGATATCGAAAGGGTTAATTACACGGGCCGGGCGGCACGGGAGAAGTTGATGGCGGCGCCACTAGATGGATAGATCGCGGACGCGAAATTGACCGCGAACTTTCGGCAATTTGGCCGGGCGGTGCAAGTAATAAACTCGCCTCCCTTCGGAATTGATTGGTGGATCGGCGCACCGACGCGCTGTCACCTGCCGGCAATAAATATTCCGCCGGCGATCGTTGCTAATCGCGGGCCAAAAATAACATGTTTGATCATGGACCGACGCCTGTTCCCTCGTGCAACGCTGTCGCAATTCTATCGTGGACGCTGGCCAGCCAAAACTCTCCTTTATCGAAACGTTGCTCTCATCGAGTCGAAACGCTGAACCGATCGAGCTCTAAAAACGACCGATGCGCGTTGCCTTGTAAGAATTGCACGATTGAATTTATTCGAATTTTTCAGAATTTTTACAACAGCCCGAACGAAGAAATATATTTGACAATCATCAATGCAAGCAGCTTTTCATCGTTTCAATAATTGTAAAATGAAAAATGCGATACGGATTGTTTGACCGACTATGGCACGTTAATTCGATTGAATTAAGTTAGAATAGAAGAAAATTGTGTTGTTATCATCGCTATCACTGTTTTCAAATTCTAGTTGCTGAATTTGTGAGCATCATTAATTTACATATGTTAATTTTTGCTTCGAAAATTGAATTATTTCTTGATTTTATTTGAAGTCGAGATTTTGTGCATGAATCCTTTTATTTTAGATTTTTCGACAGCCTTTAAGGATATTAAGGATAAATAACCACTATTCTTTTATGTATGTACACGATATCATATTTTTACACAGTTTTTTGGAACGTATATATGGTTAAAAAATTATAATAATCGAAGAACGTCAGCCTACTGTTCACAGCTTGTTAGAATGCTTCAAGAAGGGTTGAAGTATCCAGCTGCGTCCTATATCCTTCGCCATCGACGTCAAAACGTTCACCTTTACCTTCACTTTTTATTTTCATTGAAAATTTTTTCATTTTTCACCGTG